AACTTTAAGCAAATGAAATGCCCCCCCCCCCCCCAAATCAAAATCTGTACAGCAATAATGAAAATAAATGTTAACATTTTCCCAAAAATGTATTTGTATAAAACACTATAACTTCTAAATAAATGAATGAAAATCAAAATAAATTGGCAGGCATGTTCCTTATATATCTGTGGTTTGAACTGTCTAAGGATAATTAGATTGTTTTAAAAACTTTTGAAATATTCAGGAAAATTTTAACTGGTACCCCCAAAGTTTTTCATCGAACAACATGGATAACGCATGAATTCAGGTAAATTATTACTTTTAACTTTCCTAACAATATTTTAGACGACATTAATAACAATATTGAGTATTGTAAATGTCAAAGTTTTAAGGTTCTGTACTGTAGATATCATGTTTTTAATTGTTGTTCATTTTTTTAATATTTAGGCAACGATTTGCCCTATAATTGATCAAAATCATTATTTTTTACTAAAATAGATTTTAAAAATACTTTTTATCGATTTTGAAGATGATTACTAACAAATGAAACCAAAAAAAAAAGGTAAAATTCAATTATTTCGATTTTGGTGTTTAACCTGCCCTTTAAATTGACTAAAATTGTTTTAAAAAGCATATTAACTGGTGCCCTTAAACGATTCCAATTTATGGAACCTATAAAATATCGCTACGCTCGATATATATTGAGGATTCGTACATTTAAGGCTAATCTTGTAAGAGGCTAACAGTATTCGATTATAAATATCGTACTGGCCGCTTCAGCTTACATCCCGTTGTTAGAATATATTCGTTAATTTTATTGATAAATTTTTGTTGAAACTTCACAAGTTTAAAGACTTCAATAACACTGTATTAAATACCTTTACGTCGATATAATGCTCTACAATTTTGATAATAGTTCTTGCAAAGTATCAAACATGAGCAATCTGTTTTCAGATTATATTTTATCATGAAAGCATGACTTTTAAAGTAAGGATAACTGTTAATTATAAATTGAATGATGGTATTTTTCTGCAAAAAATATAGACATTAGCATAATTTTAAATGTTCTCGATTCCATGTATATTAATCTAGATAAAAGGGAAATTGATATATATATATATATTATTTAAGAATTTAACGCGTGCATACAAATAGTACATGTTTCAGTCAATCATTATTAAATCGAAAGCGTTTGTTTTTTCTTTAAATGTGCTACTTCTGTAACAAAGTTTCCTGAATTACTGAGTTTATTTGTTTTGTGGTTTTTTTTTTCAATTCCCAATTTCTTTTGTAATTTTAATTTCAGAATAATAAATAAACTGATCAACCTTTTTTTTAAAAGAAACTAATTTTTTTTCTAGATGAGAATCGAGTGGAAAGAAGAAATTTTTTTTTTGTGAACTAGCATTTTCATAATCATGCTAATTCCATTTTTTTTTCGGGGTACTAGTTTAAAAAAAAAATAGTATTCCCATATTGTCT